TTTCAATAAGATGATTAAAAAAGTGACTCGTCAAGGCAAAAATCTCGTGTTTGAGGGATGACTAGGACTAGTTCTTTCTTGATATTGTCAGTTTCTGAGATAATTAATTGCATACTCTACTTACATAGACATATAAAATGATGTCTATGATAATTAGCTTAACTTTTCTTTCAATTTATGTTTTTAGTTTGCAAAAAATAGCATGCGTATCTGAGTTTTTTTTTTTTAAATGACCTTTGACCAACATTTTCAAACACAGAATTCCGTTTTTTACAAAAAAAAATTAGAAGAGAATCGAATATCCAATTGCCGACTTTTTGAAACCGAAGCTAGAATTCTGACTATTTCTTAAGGTGAACATATTTCTTAATAAGAGTTTTCGCAAATGACAAATCCACCTCAAATAAAGCATCCTAGCTGAAATTTTAAAGTCCAAATGGCCCAAACGTGAAATTAATCTCGATGACTAGATACTACATACCACAAAACTTTAACATTTTCAGCCAAAAAAGTATGTAAAAAAAAAAAAATCATCCTAAACACTATCTAAACACCTTATGTATACTTTAAAAGTAATTTAGAGATCTTAATTTCCCTGTTCATAACCAATCTAGAAGTTGACCACACACAGTTGACAATTTGTCAAACAAACAAAAAACCTTTAATACCTATTTTTTTTGTTTCATGAATGTTTTGGTTCAAAGTAACTAACTCCAGGATTTGCTTCAACGAAGATAAGATTAGGTATGTACTTAATTTACAGCAACCACTACAATGAGAAAGCATATTGTATTAACAGAAATGCTGATTTGGACAAAGTTAACATATTTTGCGTAGTCTACAGTTTATAAAGTTGAACTGACATTGTCATATAGATTGGGTTATTTAGGAGCGTTAAGTGGGTTTGTGGTTTGTCCCATCCAATTAATTAACCCGTTTTACAACATGTTAAAATCGTATGCTAATCCTAGCATGTTAGTCCGATTGAAACAACGCATCAACGAGCTTAATTTTATTTATTTATTTTATCAACCATACATTAATCAAAATAGAATACTTTGATTGTTCTCCAATCTAGAGAATAATATTTATAGAAAAAAAATCTTAGAAAATCTAATACGAGTTGATCGAACTAAACAATCTAAGCAAAAAATAAAAAATAGAAAGAAGCTAGGAACCTATTGTGAAGTACACCAATTTCAAAAGCGAGTTTAACATTAGAAATCCCTTCTTTATAGTTCTAAGCTTCTAATATTGTAACTCTAATCCGCTCTATAACATAGCGAACTGGTAATAGTTATGATACAAGCCTAATCTTATATAAAAGATTACTTAAAATAAAATTTG